GTCCTTCATGTGTCGAGGGCCATGGGAGTCTATGATGACTGAGAGGGCTGTTGGTATTCTCAATAGTGTCCCTGGATAGAGTGACAAGGGATTAATACTGTGTGTGTGTGTGTGTGTGTGTGTGTGTGTGTGTGTGTGTGTATAGAGGGGGTGTGACTATGAGGTCAGTGGTGTGTGTGTATCTGAGTGCAGGTATGTGCATGATGGCAAGGCTTGAGCAGGGCTAATTGTGGGCATATGGGTACTGGTAGTGTACATGTTCAAAGGTATAGGAGTTAAGGCTGAAAGTGGACATGTGGGGACCAGCTTCAGGTGACCACTTGGTGATGGGCAGCAACAGGATTAGGCCAGTTGCTATGTGCACAACTGCAGACTCCAACTAGCAGTGTGGATGCATGAAATTTCATGCATCATGTTTGTTTCATGCAACCAACGTGATATTAGTGGCACATGATGGAGTGATGGGTCTCGTGTGCATGTGTGTAGCTGCTAGGACCAGCTGCAGGCACAAAAGCCAATGGGTGTCCATGATAGGGAATGGTGGCTCCATGAAGATGTATATCTGCAGGAAGCAGAGCTAACAGTGGGCATATGCATTACTGCAGTGGCCAGCTGTGTATGTATGCACGGTGGTGGGGGCAGGTGATGAGAGGGCAGGTTGCTTACATGTATACAGCCACAGGGACCAGGACAAGTGGCAAGCAAGCACATGGCTGCATAGGCCACCTGCAGGCACATGCTTAGCTGTGAGACACAGCCATAAGAGTTGAGGCTAGCTGCTTGCAGGCACGAGGCTATGGGATCAGACATAGGTGCAGCAAATATGGTGGTGTGGTCTGTATCTGCCGTGGGGACACAGGCCATTTTTGGATACACCCAGTAGCTATGCTGTCGTCTGGGTTGGGTTCTCATGGCAGCAGCAGCAGAGTTAACTCTGAGAGAGGAAGAAAGGAGGTGGTGGCTTAAGCAACTGGAAATTGCAAAAGTGAAAAACTCTGGGTCCTTGATGGGAGAAGAAGAGAGGATCTACTGCAGTTCTGCTGGTTGCTGTTTGCCTTCGTGGCAAAAGCTACCTCTGCAGAGCAGACTGCTGAGGTCCACGGTGGCAAACACCATGAGGTCCTTGGCCAGGAAAGCTACAGGGGGTGTGAGGTGGCTACAGAGCTTTTGAGGTGATCAACAGGGAAGCTACTAGGCTCCTACATAAAGCAGACCACCAGGGCCATGATGGCTCCTGCCACCTTGCTGATTGCGATAGCCCTTGCCCAAATAATTTGTTTCTAGCTATCTCCAGACAGCAAAGCCATGCTGCTCTACCCAGTGATTAGTGTGACACTCAAGTGGGTCATTTGGGGAGGATCCTGAGAGGCTGGGGAAGCTGGTTGTTCACCTATCCCCCTTTGCTCTGTGAGAGGAACTCATGACCTGGGAAGTTCCCTCTCCATGCTTCAGCTGGCCTGGGGGATGGGATGATACAGGTAAAATGAAACTCTTGTTCCTGTCCATTTTGGGGTATGTGGTTATTCTCAATTTTTTCCTAGTGTGTTGCTTTACTTCTTCAATGGACTCCTGAGTTCTCCTAGAACTATTGTTATTTACAGATAGGTGTCCCACTCATTCTTTGTGGAGGGAATGAAGCTGGGCTATCCTAGTCTGCCATCTTGCTGACCTTATTCCACCCTTTGTGTTCATGAACTTAAACACCACTACCACCACACAGTTCTGTCCATTATCATTGAGGGTCAGTAATTTTGTAAGAAGGCCTGGGAACAAACACTCAGGGGACTTGGGTTCCAGCCCCAACTCTGCTACCAGTGTGAAGAGGTATTAGCTAGAGTTCTTTACACTCTAGGACTCAGGTTTTCCATTTGTCCAATGGAAACAGAGATCCACGCTCTGCCTATCTCAGAGAGACTGGCCAAGTGCCAACCAACAGGGGCCTGTATGCCATCTGAAATGAATCCAGAATCTTTCAAGACTGTGACAATATCTCGACTCAGTTATATGTTTGTAATCTCAGTCCAGAAATCCATGGGGAGTGAATAAATCTCACCTCCCAATCATGCAGGAAGATATATAATAATCATGGCACCATGACTGAGCACTCAATTTATAGCAAGGACCCTACAAACATCATCCCCATCGACTGCCTCTATTTGAAGCCTCACAACCCCCACCAAGAGGCAGGGATTGTCTCTGCTGAGATTTCTCAGGGGAGGAATTCAAAGGGAAGGAGGCTGAGGGCCTCTAGTTGGAATGGGCTGAGTCTCCAGTTATGGACAGGTCAGGCTGACTCCACATAGGATCTTCTGTCTTTCTTGCTGCCCTGCCTCCCTTGTTTTCCACTAATGCTAAGAGCCTGGCAGGTTGAGGGGATCAGGATTCATCCACCTGAAGCCAGGGGGTAAAGGGTGTGGAAAGTCTAGGCCTCATTGAGAGGACCCAAAATTCAACAGCACTTTCCCTGATATGCATGGAAGCAAAGAACTTCTTCAAGGAGCTGAGAAAGGTCATCTAAGGAAGAGATGGAGAAGGGCCAACTGGGAAGCTCATTAGAAGGCATGCTGCTTCTGTGTTTGCCCCGAGGTCCTGCCTTCATTACTTGGAAATCTGCTTTTGTAAACCTCAATGTCGGGGGCCCACGCTCCCCGGGAGTGCCCACCCTCTCCCCTTTATCTTCTGCGGTAAACCAAAGTTGGAGGCAGAGGCCTGGCAAAGGCCCATTACTCACTTTTAATGAGACAGCCAGGGAAATAAATTGGCATATGTTAGCAAAATGGCTCATCAAGGTGAGTAATTATCTTCATGAGTGGGGCAGTTTACCCTCAGATGAAAGAATTTGCATCTCATCTCTCATTGGGCTCTGGTTCTCCAGAATAAGGGCAGGAGGCCAAGTGGAGCTTGACCACTGATCACAGATACCTGCTCTTGTCTGATCTTGCTGTTCACCATCGATCTGTCAGATTCCCAAGCTTTCACAGGGAGAGACTGCACAAGTGATCCCAGGGGACAGAAGCCCAGAGGAGAAAAACATGAAGTGGTTGTTTTATATTTTGGTGTGCATGTGTGTGTGTGTGATGGGGACAGGCCACCGGGAGCAGTTCTAACAAGCTCTACTAATTAAACCTTTCTTCTTAGTCCCGCACCAACTATTTCCTCCTTTTATTCCTTATGCACTGATCTTGTGCCCTGGACCATTAGCATCTGGTGATGTCCAGATGTGCAGCTGTCATTCCTGTGACTTTTAGCCTTTTGTAAGGGAGCTATCTCAATACTATTTTTTTTCTGTCTTCTGAATATTATTTTGTCTTCCAAGACAAATCATCGTCGACTGAAATAATTTAATGAAGCCTCACAACCCCACAAAGAAGCATGGATTGTCTCTGCTGAGATTTCTCAGGGGAGGAAGGTCAGAAATGAGGGCATCTTCTTGGCTTCCGTTATGGTTTAGACATGAGGTGTCCCCCATGAGTGAGACAATGCAAGATTTGACAATGTCACCTCCTGAGCTGCCTTCCTCCTCACACCCTTCTGTCATGGTGTTCTGCCTTACCTTTGGCCAAGACCAATGGTGTCAACCCACTATGAACTGAGACCTCTGAAACCGTGGGTGCCAAATAAACTTTTCCTCCTCTAAAATTATTCTTACCAGGCTTTGGTCACAGCAACCCAAAGCGTAACACAGCTGGCATCTCCTGTGGAATCTGCTCTGGTTCTCAGGTGGCAGGTTCTGCCTGACAGTGAGTTTCTCCCAGGCCTTGATGTTGAGACTTGTAAGCAGGTGACTGATAGCATTCCTCTCTAGACATCGGTAACCAAGAGACGCATGGCTAAGTTTTTGCCTAACTCTGGTTCATGGCATGGTTTGTGCATGAATTTCAGCCTTGATGCCCCCAATTTCCAAGTTTTTTTTTTTCACTAGATGGTAAGCTCCCTGTGGTCAGCCTATTGGTCCAGGGCACAAGATCAGTGCATTAGGAAGTAAAGGAGGAAATATTTGGTAAAAGACTAAGACGAAAGGTTTAATTAGTAGAGCTTGTTAGAACTACTCCCTGTGGCCTGTCCCCCCCACATACACACACACCAAAATATAAAACAACTGCTTCATGTTTTTCTACTCTGTTTTGAGTTCCACTCTGTCTTTATTCCAAGTGTCCAGCACCATTCCTAGAAGTCAGTAAGCAAATAGAGTGTGTGAAGTTCAGATCTTGCAACTTCTGCATCTTTGTGTGGTACATAAGTGTTATTTGAAACAGAAATAATATGCAGACACCCACACATTCACGCCAATAATTAAATAATAAACTTGTCAAATATTCCCGTTTGCTTATTATCAAAGTATTGAAAATCATAGCCAAAGTGGGCTGAGTTGCTCAGGCGTCTGGCTGTGTTGTTTGCATTACTATGAGTTTCGTATTAAAGATTATGGAGAAATATCCAAATGTCTTTATGGGAATGTTTTCAGTTCAGTTCAGTCTGGGATTGAAGTTCCCATTGGGGTTGAATTTCTCAAAACAGATACTGGCAAGAGCTTTAAGGAATCTGGAATGGGTCTCTGGCTTGGGAGGTGGTTCAAATCCCCCGTTTCTCTTTTACAAGGAAGGAGCAGGTTGTGGTGGGGGAATCAGGTCACAACTTGTCAAATAGGAACCTCATGGCCACTTGGTGGCACATCTGACATCTGAGTGATGATTGGAAAGTTCTACCAGGAAACGGACGCTCTTCAGTGTCCATATGTGTCACTGAGTTCTACAGACTATTCAGTGAACAGGTTTCTGAGGTTTTTCAAGGGTTTATTCTCCACTTGGAAGGACTGCAGTTTATGTAAGGCTCATTTCTTTCAGTGCAGGTCTGAGTTCTGGGTCACAAAACCTAACATGGAGGATCTCAGGGAAGCATCAGTGCCAGGTTTATATTCAGGGTCCCGCTGGCCTGCAGAGTGGGGGGTGGTGGATTTGTTTCCCTGATCCTACGGGGGTCATCCGTCCCAGGACACTCACCATTTCTGTCAATGGCAAAAGGCACATCTGTCGTGACAATTTCGTAGTTGCAGATCTGGCTGTACTGGGGGGAGCAGTCCTCGTCGATGGCCTCCACCTGCAGGATGCTGTCATAGATCTTGCCCTCCGTCACGATGGCCTTGTAGGCGGGCTCTTTGAAGGTGGGAGCAAACTCGTTGACATCCTTCACCTGGATATGGACCACGGCCCTGGGGCGGCACATTGGAAAAAAGGGCTGGTGGTCGGAGAGAATCACACCGTCCTCCCGTCCCTCCCTGGGGGCACTGACTCAGCTGAAGCCAAAGTGGACAGAGCAACAGAAGCAAGGTGGCCATTCACGGCTGAGTCTTCTGTCCTCCCCCAGGGGACCCTCTGTCTGTCGTCACCTTGATGTAAACACCCCAGACTCCTCACTGTTCTTTGTCCTTCTCTGTTACCCAATTGCAGCCAAAGGGCTTCCTCTTCCTCTTCTCCCCTTTCTCTGCCCCTTTCATCCATTCGCCCGGGCAGTACCGACTGGACCTCTCTTACTTGGAGCCAAAATCCATAAGGGAGAGAACAGAGGAGCCCCCTGGACGGGAGAGGACTGTGCACTGCAGAAACCCAGAGGAAAGCCCTGACCAGTTCTGTAGGCAGGGGCCACCTTGGGGACCACTTTCTGGAAGAAGTGACTCTGAATTCCATCCTGAAGGTGGCCTAGGCGTACCTTCCGATGGAGGAGAGCAGGTAGAGTGGCCCTGGACCAGGAAGCAGCTTGCGCAAATGCCTGCAGGGGCTGGGGAACTGCAGAGCAGATGAGCAGGGCAGTGGCCTGGTGCTACCTGTGTATAAGCAGATCTAAGGAGCAGGCGGCCCTGAATGGAGTGAATGGAGGCCAGAGGGACAGGGCAGGATGTGGTGGTGCCACTCACTTGTGTGACTTCTTCCAGGCCGTCTCCCGGGGCCCGGCACCGCAGTCGTAGGCCTGGATGATGAACGTGTACTCCTTCTGCAGCTCACAGTCAATGGGGCTCTTGGCTCGGAGGCGGCCCTCCCCAGATGTCTTGTTGAGCACCACGGCCTCAAAGGGCAGCTCCTGGCCATGGATCTTGAAGGCACAGATTTCCCCTGTGGGAGGAGACCAGA